ATTTTTGGGGTGAAGGAGGCGGCGAGTGTGGTCACCTCATGGCTGCTCCTGTGGTGCAATATTTTGGGGGAGGCTTATTTTAGCACATGCGCTCAAATCCCAATTGGGCTTATTATCCGGGGAGGTCTTATTTTCAGGGAAACAGGGTACAGGGCGGGGCATAACCTTTTCCTAGGGGGTCACAGCAACACTTGTAATAACAACACAAATAATTCATACACCATTCGAAAGCCCATCAAAAACTGAGTTTATTGACACGATTTAATAGTCAGTATGACCACCATTAGCCCTTCGAACAGCATTCAAACGAGGTGGATAAGAACACAACAAATCTTCAAACAGTTCCGTTCGATTTTCCAGATTTTTCAACACAGTTTCCAAATTCATTCTCAAAGTTTCAACCGAAACAAATTTAACATTTAATAGCTCATTCAATTCAGTTTTTTATGGGCTTTAAAATGAGGTGTCGCGGAAGTTGTAAACTGCTGTCGATCTTGCTGTGACCCCCTAGGAAAAGGTTATGCCCCGCCCTCTGGAAAATCTGGAAAATCGAACGGAACTGTTTGAAGATTTGTTGTGTTCTTATCCACCTCGTTTGAATGCTGTTCGAAGGGCTAATGGTGGTCATACTGACTATTAAATCGTGTCAATAAACTCAGTTTTTGATGGGCTTTCGAATGGTGTATGAATTATTTGTGTTGTTATTACAAGTTTTGCTGTGACCCCCTAGGAAAAGGTTATGCCCCGCCCTGTATAACCTAAAAACAGATGATTTGTAGCAACTTCACTCTTTCCACTTCTCTTGATAATTCTACAAGTCATCATGGTTGCCACCCTTTGATAAGTGTGAGCAATAGGTATCTCCCTTTTTGTTTATTCAGTCAGTCAGTCAGTCAGTCAGTCAGTCAATTTCTATAACTGCCCAACTCAATCAATGACTCTGTGTGACTTACAATTATAATTTTTGTTTTGTGACTTTCTGATGGAGGCATCAGGAACCTCTCAAGAAAGACCAGCCTCCAGGAACCTTGGCAGCCTTTCCTACCTCACTTTACTCAACAATATTAAACTATTTCTTGGAAACTCTATTGATGGACATACCAGTGAAAGAAAGAAAAATTGTCCATGAATCAAGTTTTATTTCTTTATTGATTTTGTACCAATAATAAATACCCTATTTTTGTTAAACCTTTCTTGCCCTTCATTTTGCTGCAGAAATCAAATCACTCATTTATTAAATTATTTTCAGTTAATAATTGCTTGAGGAAAGTTGTAACTTATTCAAGCAATATATATGAGGTGACATCTTTTGAGCAGAAAATAAGAATTATGTGATTGCGGCTGATTGGAGCGATGCTGAAATGGGAGAAAATCCTTGGGCCCCTAACTTCTGTGAGTTAGCCCTGTAAGTTGAGGTACCTTTATTGAAAAAAATTTACTTTATGGTGAAGTGTATCAAGTGTATGGGTTACAGACAGAAAAGTTTTAGTAATATACAGATAAGTAAAGTTGTGTGTTCTCATGGAATGAAGAATATGTACATGGAAGTAAAGGAATATATGTACTTGAAAGAGTTAAAATAGATGTCAAAAATATGAATTAATGTCATCTAAAAGTTATATACGTATAAAAGGAATTCATAGATTGCTGATAAGTGTGTATCTAGTGATTTATGATAATGGAAGAACCAGGAATGCATTTTGTACAAATGGATATTATGTGGGAGAAAAAAAAAACTATTGGTAACATTTATTTATTAGACTTATATGAGTAGCATGGTGGCCTAGAGGTGGAGCTCTCACCTCACAGTCAGGAAACTGTGAGTTCAATGCTAGGTAGCGGCAGATATTTCTGTCTCTGGGGGCAATAAGTAATTGCTGCAAACTCCATGTAGGTATCAGGAAGGGCATCCAGCCAGTAAATACTTTGTGAAACATCCTGACCTCAGAGGTGAGGAAAGTCCTCAATCTCTTGATCTTCTACAAAGGGGTCAAAACTTGACCCTGTGGCCTGGCATGGGGGTGGGGGCCCACAGAAGACCCTGCAAATATAGGACTGGCTAATGTCTTGAGAGCTCCCACACACACACTTGTAATAATCCAACATTAAATAGTCATTTGATTTTTCCTTTTGATGTTTAATTGTCATTGTTCTATCATCTAGAATTTTAACCGTAGTTTAATTTTTAATTTTAATGTTAATTTTTATACATTTTTATCTATCAGTCATATTATATGGTACACTACTCAATGCCCCTACTTCAGGGAGATGGGCGGTTTAGAAATATGAAATATAAATAAATAAATACTAAGACCAAGGGAAACAAGTACCTGATCCATCATCTGCATCCATTGATCTCCAGGTTCCAACTTTACACATATTTTTTTTCTATTTGCTTTTTGAGCAAGCAGGCCCTCCATCTCACAATAACCAACTCTCAAACCTTCTTTCACTCTTAACACACAAACAGATATGCCACCCTGCTTTCACATGGTCCAGCAAGGGGAGGGGGTGTCTGCTGCCCAGAGAGCCGGTGAGGCAGAGACCTCTACCAACCTACCCTTATTTCTTACTTGAGGGCAGCAGGCAGCTCCAACCCAACTTACCCCATGCACTTGCCACCCACTTATTAAAAAGTCTCTGCCAGTCCTGATATTTGCAGTCTGCATGCCACCATACAAAATATCCGTTAAACTTGTCTGCCCTGAGATCTCCAGCACAATGTCAGTCCTGCCCTAACTTAGTTTACATAAAAAACAGAGAAGAGCTGCCTAAGTGGGGAATGTACCACATAGCCGACTAAGTGGCAGCTGAAAAACCAGCTCCCACTCCTATCACCGCTGGTCACCTGACCTTCAACATTCTCAGCTTCCCCAAGGGTCCTGCTGCCTGATTGCCACTGCCACTTTGCACTGCCATCACATGCCAGACCAACTGACCTGTCATGAATAGTTAGTTAGGAGAAGTAATTCGGTAATTCAGGGGGCTTTGGGAGGACCAGGAGAGGCTATAGGAAGGCAGGGTCATAGCAAGCAAATATGTGCCATGGATTGTGGTGAGCAAGGGCAGCTGAGGAATAAGTTGAATGCAATTTTGAGTGCCTAAGAAATGTGTGGTGGAACAAGAGATAGGTTCAAGAATGAAGGAATTCTAAATGGATGTGAAAAGAAAAGTGGAAAAAGACCAGTAGAAAAGAAGCAAATAAATGCATGAAAAGGGAATGAAGGGTTTGAGAGGAAAAAGAGGACTTGGAACTGGATAGAGTTGATGAACTCCTCAGAAGGAGAGAGGAAGTGAGAATCTTAACAAAAATAAGTGCTTGAATGTAGTAAAAGCAAGCGTAATTCGTAAGCATAGAAAAATATAGAGGCTATAATGAAAATTTAATTAGACTCATTTTCTTTCTGTTATCTCTTACCTTTATGTTCTTTTACTTGTTACCTCTCTTTTCCTCACTTTCCACAATATTGTTTATTCTCAAAATTAACAGTTTGGCAGATTGGCATATATGATTATACACAGTGGAATTGTGTAGTGCTATTATGCTGTCCTAGATACCCACAATACAATGTAATGCAATAAATATTCCTACAATATGTAATAATTATCCTCATACCACCTATTTGGTATTAAACAATTTTAAAGCTATTTTCATAGTGGTCAATCAGGTCCTTTACCTTCTCCAATCTTTATTCTCTACTCTGATTGGAAGCAGGTCACAGACACACACAGCCTTAACCCTAGCACAACCAGTAAAGATCACAAAACATTTTGCAGATTTTTCCTTCTAAAATTCTTTCATGTATTCCAGAAACCTTACAGCATCATGAGCATTTTTCTTGAGAAACAAAAAATTGCTGCAATTACTTGTTATGGGTCCTGCTTCTATTCCCTAGCCTTTTCCTTGTTTAAATTAAGCATCTTCATACACAATCTTTTCAGATTATTATAAAGTTGTTTGACAGCTGTGGGAGCAATGTTCTTAATATACAAGCTTAAGGAAAATATAGGTCTTTTTCTGTGTCATAGTTTCTCATTCGTTCTACAGTTCTGTCTATAATCATTCTACATTTTTAACAGCTTTCTTCCACTGGGTATTATCCAGATAGTTTGGCAGGATATCTGGAGGATTTTCAGCAAATGTAGCTGGAAGGTCCAATTTATAGGCTCGGATGGCCTTACTAAATCAAATTCACTAATCATTTTATTAAAAGGTTAACCAAAATTGGACCTATTCACAATTTATTGCTGGACTATTGTATAGGACAGTGATGGTGAACCTTTTCGGTACTGAGTGCTCAAACCAGAATGAGTGTGTATGTGCGTGTGCCGGAGCTCTGGAAACCCGAAGACCAGCTAGCCAGCACACACATACCTGTTTTTTGGGTGTTTTCCATGCCTTTTTCATGCTGTTTTTCAGGCCGTTTTCTGGTCCAAAAAAACAACCTGAAAACGGGACAAAAAAAATGAGACAAAACGGCCTGGAAAATAGCCTGGTTTTTGGCCATTTTCCATGCTCCGGCACCCGTGAAGACCAGCTGGCCAGAAACCAAAAGAACAGCTGGCAATGTTGTGCATGCCCACAGACAGGGCTCTGCATGCCATCTCTGGTACGCGTGTCATAAGTTCGCCATCACGGGTATAGGAAATACCTTTGTACATGGGAGCTCTGTAGGCATTCATGAAATGAGTTTGCAACTTATGTGTGCATAGTTGTTCTGTTTTGACTCTTAATGGTCTGCCTATTGCCTTCAAAACCACTAATGGGTCTTCCACCTAGAGTATATGGGATGAAAAAGAAAGTTTGCCCATTGTGAATAATGTCTTATCCCTTTGTGTAATCACGGGAAAGTGTGTTCTTCCTTCCATTTATTGCAAAGTAAATGTGACCATTTACTGTATCTGTGTATTTTGTTTCTGTTTGTTTTTTGAGCAAGCGGATGAACTAATTTTGTGTTTTTTATTTTCTCTTGACTCTGCCACATTCTCTCCTTTCCAAGTCTGAGCAACCCAGCCCCGCAAGTTCAAGTTCCAGCTCTAGCTCCAGTTTCATACCGTCTCAGAACAGCCGACAGCAAGGTAACATTAAAAAAGGAAGGGTGGGGGTCACGTGCTTGGGCATGCAGGCAAAAGGATGGCATTTTTATTTTTAAAGATGGATTATCATCCTACTAGGGATAGCTCTAAGAACCTTTATCCTCTCATTTTATTCATGCAAAATATGTTGAACTGATAATGAATCATAAGACAGGTAGCCCTTGACTTAGAAGCATTCATTAGTCACCATTCAAATTTACAACAACACTGAAAAAGGTGACTTACAACCATCTCTTGCACTTAGAGGACTGTCGTGGCATCCTTGTGGTCATATGATCAAAATTTGAAGGCTCAGCAACGGGTATGTAGTTACAATAGTTGTAGCATCTGGGGTCACATGCTCACTATTTGCAATTTTCCCAGTCAGCTTCTGATAAGCAAAGTCTGTGGAGTGAAAGCTGAATTCACACAACGATTGCATGATTCACCTATTAACTGCAGTAATTCCCCTACCAAAAAGGGTTGTAAAATCAAGTACAACTCACTTAACCATCTGGCTTAGCAAAGGAAATTCTGATCCCAATTGACGATAGTGAGTCTAGGACTACCTGCAAGAGCTTGATAGCTCAGTAGGTATTTGAATTACATTCTCCTCACTCCTAGGCTGATCCTAGCATCACAGTGCTGTGGCAATTCCTAGATCATTAAGTTTAACTTGTTAACATCTAAAGTAGTTAAATTTTAGTCAGCATTGTACCTTTCTTCAGAAATCAATCAACTGTATTTCTAGTTACTTTGGATTAGGCTATGTCCCAATAGAAGATGGCAGCAGCTTAGCTGCATAAACACATTTTTTTGAACTTAAAAAGTACTTTATTTATTTATTTATTTGGTTTATTTGTGGCCCATCTCATTTCAAAGTGACTTTGGGTAGCTTATCAGCATTAAAAGCCTGTTAATTTATCAACCACCTCTAGTGTGATACTCCCCTGTTGGGGTGCCAGGCCATTTGCTCGCCAAGCCCTTAAGGAAGGTCAGAAAGGTGGAAGCCAATCTCACCTTAGGGGATAAGATGTTCCAACAGGCAAGAACTACAGAATAGAAGGCCTTCTCCTGGACCCTGCCAGCCAAAACTCCTTGACTGACAGGGCCCGCAGGATGCCTCCTCTGCTGGTGCTGGTGGAGTGGGCCAGTCCCATTGGGGTGAGACAGTTCCTCAAGTAACCTTGACCCATGCCATTCAGGACTTTAAAAGGTAATAACCAACACCTTGAATTGCACCCGGAAGCAAACCGGCAGCCAGTGCAGCCCACGGAACAGTGGTATAATTGGAATTAAGATGTATTTTGCATGATACATTTTAAAAAAGTAGTCCTCCAAGGTCTATCAGTCTTAAATTTGCAGAAATGAGTAAACCAAAGAACCTAAAACTTGTAATGTTAAAATACTCTTTTTTTTTTTTTACAAAAGGAAACAAATATATTTTAAACCTTTTTTAAATTTTGACTTTGGAGTTATCAAGAAGTTACGATTTACATACTGTATGCAAAAACATATGTTTTTTCATATTTAGATATGCAAAAACATATTGTAGTTTATATTTAAATAGTTGAGGGAGTTCCCATTGTGTTATTCTTAATGGTAAATAGCACAATGTTATGAATCCAGTTTTTTAAAAAATTAAGTAAAAATGCTTTTTTCCAGTTCTTTCATCAGTTGATATTTCTAAATTTCTTCACACATATTTTTTCCTGATTATAAGAAAATTCTTCCTTTGCCAACTGATTACTGCTTTTCAGGGAATATTCAAAACATATATAACTTCCATGACAGTATTGTAATTGTATTATTATGTACATAACAATATGAAGCCTGTATTTTAGCTGTCGTTAGCAGTCACGTGCATCAACTTCTTTCCGAGGATCTATGATGCCATAATGTATCAGCAGAGTATACATATGGATCCAAGCAATGTGACCTTTTATAATTGATAGAAATTTTGTCAACACACAGATTTATGCCATAATCCTTCAACTTTTCAAATCTTGATACTTTGTGATCTTCTCTAATTCTCTGTCTTTTACTTTACTATCCTATTTATTCTGGTATAAACAATAAGCGATTTAAAAAGGGTTCAATTGGCAGAGGTTCGTTATTATGAGGCAAATAGGAGGAAGATATTAAGTATGTTCATTGCCAACTTATTGAAAATTATAAGAATAAAGATGAGATATAAATGAAGAAATAACCACATGGAGACAAAACAAAACAACCAATTTTTCTTTTAAGCAGAAACACCCTTGGAAATGAATGAAATCAAGATTACATTAAACTGTTAGTACTGTTACTTGAAAACTCTTGCTCCATTGCACTAAGCCACCATTTGTTTTAATCATTATTTGTTAAACAACTTTTTGTGGTTTAGCCACAGTGGCTGGATTGACATGGTGTGCTAAACAAGCACAAAAAACTATGATTTACGGCAAAGTATAAAGTTGGCTAATGACTATGATACATGCCATTAAAACATGGGTTTATTTGGGTTACCAAAAACAAGTTCTTTTATAAGCCACATTAAAAAAAACCTAGTTTTGGAAGGTAGCATGCAGTTTTTAATACTTTCTTAATGAATAATTGCAGTCAGTTTGGGCTATAATTCCTGTTTAATACCAAGCACACACATAACTGGAATTTATCCTGTCTATATTTTAATAATTATTATGATCATGCAGAAAATTGTAAATTATTTTATGTATTTAAAATTTGTCTTTGTTGTTCTTTATTTTAGCTATCTTGAAAGGCAGGACATAAATTAATTAATCCGTTTCTCTTCAGACCACATAGGTCTTTTGACTTTCTGAATTAATTAATAAAGCAATTAGTAATTTAACAACAGCCAATCTTTATTTTGGCATAGAGCAGCATATCACGTTGTAATTAACAATACCACTAATGATGATGTTAAGAATTAAACTATTCTGTAAAGCTGTTGCTCTGTTTTTTAGTGGCAGAATTATTTTTTAGAGCTTTAGCTCAGAAATTAGCTCAAAGGTTTTTTTTCTTCTTGCTTCCCAACCTCTGGACAGATTAAATATTTTTATTTCCTTCTGGAAACTAATACTTCTAGTAAATGTCTGTAATGTTATTAAAATATGGTAACATTTTAAGTATCTAATTGTAGAACTTTTATTTAATACAACTTTATTAGTGTAGGAGGCTTAGGATCTCTATCCAATTCTTGGATAAAAATAGGTCTCTTCTATTGGAATTGACACACTTTATACATATGAGCATGCAAAAAGCTGGCTTGACCTGATATTGACCTTAGACTAAAGAAGACAGCTATATTCTAAGTAGATCAAAAACAGGCAGACAAAGAATGCCTTGGCTAGAGCAACTTGTAATCACAGTGATTTATTAGACTATGACTTTCAATACACGGATTAGTCTAGCAAAATGTACTGTTACTGTGGCCTCTTTAGATTTTTCCAGTATAAGATACCTTTAAGGGTCTTTTATAGCATCTTATTTTGCTTTGTTTTGTTTTAAAGATCCATTTGGTTCTGTAGAATGCCAAGTTGCTTTACTTAACATTCCAAGGGGCTTATTCTGCAAACACTTAAAACACTAATCTCCTTGTTGACAGAAATAATCCTGTTTTAAGTCAACTGGTCCTTGAATAAATTTACTTTTGTTTAAGCATTTGCTTCATAAGCTCCCCCAAGCAGTGCATCTTTTGTTTAATGATCAGATCCTTCTTTCGCCTTTCTTAAAATTTTTGTTAGAACTTGTTTTATTATGAAGCTAACCATAAATAGGCTTCATGTGAATTCCTATTGTTGAACTGTGTCCCTTTTTGTTTTTATTCACTAGGTCCTTTGAGGTCTATAATGAAAGATCTGCATTCTGATGATAATGAAGATGAATCTGATGAAGCAGATGAGAATGACAATGACTCTGAGATGGAAAGACCTATAAATACTCACGGAGGAAGTAGAGTGCGCAGGTTAGGAATTAGAAAAATAAATTCCAGATAATTTGACAGCCTAAGACAAGCGAAAGATAGTAAAGAGATTTATTTTAGATTTTGAGATAAGCCAGAAATATTTATTTGATTCATTAAAACACTGCATGCTAGAAAAGAAAACAATATGCAGGGATTTAAGGAAATTTTAAACATTTTAAGAAAGAATCTGGGAAGTTGTTTTAAAAGTTCAGCATGCCAAGAAAGAAGAGTAAGGTCTCCTGCACTCTATAGTCAAGTGCTCCATCTCCCTCCCTCCCTCCCTCCCTCCCTCTCTCTCTCTCTCTCTCTCTCTCTCTCTCCTCTCTATCTCACTCTCATTTTCACACTATATGTATATTGTGCTTTTAATTCTTTAGGCCATATACAGTGAATTTCAGAAATAAGGGAAATGAGTTGAACATAGCCGAACTGTAACAAAGGCTAATTGGAAGCTGTTATCTTAGGAAAGGACATTAAATTATCAGTTATAGGATGGAAACATCTGGCTTTGTAAAAGTACTTGTGGAAAACTTTACAGCTATACTTAAACATTAAGTATAATGTGACTGCAAAAAAAAGACAAACATGGTTTTGAACTGCATTAACTGAAATGTAATTTCTATTTCATGAGATGTGATAGTTCCATTCTGTTCTCCACTTCACTACTATATTCAGTTCTCTGTTCTGCAATTTCAGTACAATTCAGATAAATTAGGACAGATGTAAAGAAAGGACAGCGAGGGTCAACAGGGGGACTGCAAATTAAGTTCTTTGTGGAGAGACTGAAGAAAGTTTTAGCTTTCAGAAAAAAACAACTAAAGGGCAGCATAGTCATGTTCAAATATGGGATGTCATATAAGAAGGCTATGACCAATTTTCTGTCATCCCAGGGTCACAGGACATGTAACAATGGTCTTGAGTTATGGAAATAGACTTATTTGAAGGCGTAAGTAGATCAGGGGTGTCAAACTCATGTCGTTACAGCAGCGTCATATGATGTATCAGCATTCCCCCACCCTCTTCGCTAAACCAGGGCTGGGCATGGCCAGCATGTGATGCATCCAGGGCTGGGAGTTTGACAGCCCTGGAGTAGACGGTGACTTCCTAACCAATAAAATGGTTTTACTGTGAAATAAATTACCTAGGGCAGCAGTGGGAACCCCTTGACTTGGAGCACATTTTTCAAGAAGTTTTTAATTTTGATTCCTGCCAAAGCAGTAGTTCAAAGTTAAGACATAAATGGCCAAAGATCTGTGAAATTAATATTTTTTGTCCCACTTGGTTTACAAAGGTATGTTAAACTGCACTTGCTATTTTCATGGTTTGAAAATACTATTTTTGAGATTCTTCCAATACACTTCTTCCACCATTGTCTCTCCATCATAATACAATATTTATTTGTTTGTTTCTTAAATCAGGGGTCCCCAACCTCTGAGCTGTAGCCGGCTGCTGGGCTACAGCCCATTCGGAACCGGGCCACACAAGTGGGCTAGTGGAAGCACATGCAACTCTACTTATACAAGTGACAGGTGCTCATGCTCACACGCAAAACTCCATTTGCATAAGCAGCGGGCAAGTGCCTGGAACGTCCAAGTACTGAGTTTAAATCTTTAGTATAGCCACGCCTCCTGCTCCCTTTGGAGTTCAGTTTGAAAAACTCAGTCATCCTAAAAGGATACATTGAGGAGATCCAGTCCTTGGAGAGCAAGCTGGACTCTCCAAATTAGTTTAGTATAGCCTTTTCTTATTTTTGTTTCACTGTGTAGTGTTAGATAGCCTTAGGTTTTGTTATATTTTTGTTGGAAAGCATTTCTCCTTATTTCTTCACTTCCCTCATGCACGGATCAGGCAGCTTGGAGCTAATCAGCCTTACGTGCTAACACGCTGTTGAGGCTGCACCGGGAGGTTCACCAGCAGCCACTGGCGAGCTCAGGGGCAAGGTAGGTCAGGATCCCTGGAAAAGCTGTCGGAGGACTCTATTTAGCCCCAGAGGCTCTTCTGGGCTCTCCGGATAGCCAACAGCAGCCCCGGTGCCATTCTAAGCTTGTGGTAGCCATTTTGAACAGTAAAAAAGGTGCGCTTTTAAAAGTCAAGCCATTTTATTAGTGCCGCAGTCTGATCCTTCACAGATTTCCGCTGGGAGGGGTATTAATCGAGTGGCCTTGCTCTAGGTCTCCAGGCAGGCCTCCCCCTCCCCAGGAAGATTCAAAATAGTGGCTGCAGGGAGTTTGGCTTCCCCAGGCTATTCCCTGCTTTCTCTCATCTGTATGGATCTGCAGGCACCCTGGGCCTTCCAATTTGGCGCCAAAACTCATTGCTGCATTCCCTGTCTGGGCCCATTGACTCTGCTCTCCAATTCCTCTGGGCCACCTCTCATCTAATCCAAGTGGCTGCTAGCAAGTTCAAGCATGGCCAGCAAGAGTGTGGACAAAGCCAAAGATCAGACAGGACCTCCCGTCAATAAGCACAGCAGACCCAATCCTGTGGCCAAACGTGTTAGTGCAGCATGTCCTACAAAGGGCAAGCAGCCCAGGTGACAAAGGGTGTCTAAGGCTGAGGAGAGACTGGCAGAGAGACGACAGAGAGCTCTAGAAAAGCAATTTCAGAGGGCTTAGGGAAACCAGGGGTTTGACAAGGAGCTCCCTTTATCTGCTGAAGATCCTCCTGTCCCTTCCATTGTAGATCCCCCTCCAGAGGAGGTTCTATCGGTAGTGGATGAGGAGGATTTTGCATTCTCCCCAAACCCCTCTAGGGCATCTCCCAATTCTCTGGCCTCATCCCTAGAAAAGGAGTACAGGGATGAACCTTGTTTCCTGCTGGAGGAGGAGGGAATTCCTACCTCTGGGCCAGGCCCTAGAGCATCGCCCCAGAATCAGGATCCCACTCCTGAACTGTCACCAGCAATGAGGGAGGTGGTTGCAAAGGCTATATCTCAGGGATTGCATATAGCATCCAGCAACTGGGCCTCACATTGCCTCTCCCAGGCTGTGCTAGAGCCAAGGCGAAGGTCCCTGACTCTCAGGCACAATCGGGCAGGGTCTCTCCGCCTGCCTCCTTGGCCGTCAGCGAAGCATCTGACACTGAGGAGGGCATTTAGGATGCACTGGACTTGTTGGAAGACGAGAATAAGGCCCCTGATGTTCCTGCATTCTTGGGCTTGTTCAAGCCCTCTATGTTCCGGGCCACTCTCACCAAGGCTAGGGCCTCATCTATTCAGATGGGACTTCCCGCTCAGTTGGATAAGACTTCCTCAGACCAGGACAATAAGACACCTGCCAGATCTCAGGATCCAGCAGCGGGCCTCTTCAAGGAAACCACCCCTCCCCAAGATCTGGTTCCAGCACCCCAACTCTTCCTGGATGTTGTCCAGCACCAATGGGCTCAGCCAGAGTCAATGGCTAACCCCAGTGGAGTGGATAAAAAGCTCTACTCTATGGAGGCTGGAATGGAGGATCTCTTGAAGCTCCCCCAGGTGGATAATCCCATAGTGGCCCTAACCTCGAACTCGGTTCTTCCAGCGGATCTGCTGGAATGACTCAAGGCTGAGGACAAGAAGGCAGAGAAGGCCTGTCATAAGACTCATATGGCCACTGCGTGGGCCATGAAAGCCTCCTCTTCTTCTTCCTATTTCAACAGGGCAGCCTTGTTTTGGCTGCGTAAGTTATTAGCCAATCTCCCAGCTAGCGACACTAGATCTCGCCAGGATGTAAACAAAATAATCACAGCGGTAGAGTATTCAGCAGATGCCTCCCTTAATGCCACCAAATTCTCATCTAGGGCTCTTGCCTCCAATATCACCTCACGTCGCCTGCTATGGCTCCATCACTGGCAGGCGGACATGAAGGCAAAATGGAAGCTAGCTTCAGCCTCCTTCAAGGGCGGCAAGCTGTTTGGGGAGGCCTTGGACTCAGTACTAATTGGGTCCAAGGACAAACGAAAGGCCCTTCCGGCTGTCACCAAGAAGCCAGACCGTAAAGGTCATTCCTTTTTTCGCAGACAGCCCTTTCGTAATGCAGACGCCCCTGCTACCTCTGGGGGATACACCAGGCCTTACAACAAATCACAGAACCACTCCCATGAGAGGTCCTCATTCAGGGATAAGAATAGACAGCAGGAAAACCGCAGAACGTTCCGAGGGTTTTTTTTCAAACCGTTCCTTTCAACAGACTAAGTGACCATCATCAGCCCTCTCCAACTGGGGGCAGGCTCCAGCTGTATGCCGGCAAATGGGAGGAGACAATGACGGACTCTTGGGTTCGGAACACGGTTTGGTATGGCCTAAACACAGTGATCGACTCCATCACTTGCAAAGTTTACCTCACACAACAGCGAGCGGACAGTATAACCTCTCTTGTGCGACAGGTCAGGACAGCCAGGTCAGCCTCCATCGCACTTCAAAGGCACACACGTCCTAATATTGACGAACAACATTGCCACCAAGGCGTACATAAACCATCAGAGCGGGACTCGATCAACGGCCCTAATGTTGGAGGTGGAAGCACTCGGGCGTTGGGCCGAACACCACCTCGAGTCACTGAAGGCAGATCACATCTCGGGGGAAAAGAAAGTAACTGCAGACTGGCTGAGCAGAACTACAATCAGCAATTTGGAGTGGCGGCTCCATCTGTCTCTCTTTTACCAACTATCCCAAAGATTCGGTCTTCCAACGGTAGACCTGTTTGCCAGTCCAACAAACATGCATCTCCCCCCGTTCTCGCGGTTCCAGTGCCTGGAGAGGAAGGGACAGACGCCCTTTGATGTCGCTGGCCTCCCGGCCTCCTTTATGCCTTCCCGCCGCTCAACCTCATTCCCCAGGTGGATCAAGAACATCCTGTTGGAGGGAACGGAGGTGCTACTGATTGCACCACATTGGCCAAGGCGATCCTGGTTTGTCGACCTTGTCAATCTATCAGTGACCAAACACTGGCGCATTCCTCAGGAGCAGATCTCCCTCAGCCAGGGGGCCATTCTTCACCCAGATCCTCAGTGGCTCCAGTTGGCCATCTGGCACTTGAGGGGGACCTCCTGAGGCAGGACAATTTCTTGGACAAGGTCATCCGCACCATCCAGGTGTCCTTCCACAGTGCACATCTATGATGCAACCTGGACAGCTTTCGCATCTTGGTGTTAGTTGCGTCATATCGTTGCCACCACAGCAACTATCCCGCAAATCCTTGAGTTTCTCCAGGACAGACTGGACAAGGGTCTTGCCCCCAACACACTGTGGAGGCAGATGGCCACCTTGGCCACCATATTATCCAGAGATGACACTATACTGCTCAGCAGACATCCCAGGGTACGCAGCTTCCTGAAAGGAGCTACCAACCTAAGCCCCCCGACGGTCCACCGGTACCCGACTTGGGACCTGGTGATCGTTCTGCAGATGTTGACCTCGGCTCCATTCGAGCCTATTCATTCCATCTCCTTGCGACACTTATCATTTAAGACTGCCTTTCTAGTTGCCATCACTTCGGTCCGCAGAATTTCTGAACTGGCGGCTTTATCAGTGAGGGAGGACCTCTGCATTGTGCATCTGGACAGGGTCATTCTTTGTCTTGACCCCTCCTTCCTCCCAAAAATTACCTTGTTTCACAGGTCGCAGGAAGTGATTCTCCCTGATTTTTGCCCACATCCCAGGCACCCCAGGGAACGCGTTTGGCACAAGCTGGACGTGCGCCAGGCGGTATACAGGAAAAGAACAGCTTCTTTCTGCAGGTCTAAATCCTTCTTTGTATCTTTTCAGCCCTCTTCAATGGGCAGGAAGGTTACCTCTTTGACTATTGGACGTTGGCTCTGCATCTGCATAAAGCTGGCCTACAAACATCAGGCCAGCCGGTTCCTCCTCACATAACCGCTCATTCCACGAGGAGTGCTGCGACCTCAGCTGCTTGGGCAATGCAAACACCCATTGAGGAGATATGCAGGGCAGCAACTTGGTCCTCGCCATGTCCATATATTCGTAACTATAAGTTGGACTCCTTTGCAGCTGCTGAGGTCTCTTTTGGGAGAAGAGTTTTACAGCGAGTTCTCGCTGCTCCAGAACAACAGGACCTTTCTTCTTCCCACCCTGGGACTACATAGCTTCGGTATGTCCCATGCTTGAACACTCCAAGCAGCACCTAGGAGAATGACCATTGGCTTACCTGACATTCTGTAGGTGCTGCGAGAGTGTCCAACCACGCCCTGGGGTAGTCTAGTGGAACTGTGTTATCACCTTTGAGGACATAATCCACCTTCTTGCGACATCCTTCCAAATTACATCTCCTCATTTTTCAAACTGAACTCCAAAGGGAGCAGGAGGCGTGGCTACATTAAAGATTTAAACTCAGTCCTTGGGCAGCAAGCTGAAGTTAATCCATGCTTGGACACTCCCGCAGCACCTAGAGAACGGCCATTCAGGTAAGCCAATGGTCATTCCCCTTTGGCCGGGCCGCTAAGCTGCAAAAGTTGTGGACTGCTGTCTTAATATGCTGTCAGCAATGTAAAATTCTAGCCATGAAGGATACGATGTAGAGAGGTCTTAAAAATATAATATAGGATGGTTATAATCTGTAATAAGTTATAAACACTTGAATTTTTCATTTATGTATTGACCAAAATCTACCTGCTTCTTACCTTTTCATTCCTCTACCACTTTTATTTTTGCTCAGGGTTAGTTTAAGTGATGGAAGTGACAGTGATAGCAGTTCTGCATCTTCACCTCTACACCACGATCCTCCACCTTTATTAAAAACCAACAATAACCAGGTATTATGTTTTAGTATGAGCACATACCATATTTTTCCAGTAAACTTTTTTATTTTCCCAACTTTGTGAGCCTTCTTTAGTTTTATAAATGATTAGTGTTAATTAGTCCTGAATCTTTTCACTTTGTGAAGATCTTACTGAATTTGCTTTGTGCTGTTATAACCTAAAATATTTTCTGGGGGAAAAATCCTTCTAAAGATATGTGTAAAGATACATTTATGCTTTACTTTGAGGTGCATAATATTTATTTCCCCTATAAGTGAGTAGCACCAATTTTATGATCATTTTTGTCACAATTGTTAAGCGAATCTCTGCAGTTGTTAAGTAAATTGTGCATTTATTAAACAAATCTGGCTTCCCCTAGTGACGTTGCTGTCAAAAGACAGCTGGAAAGGTCATATATGGTGTTCACATGATCCTGGGACACTGTAATAAATCAGTGTCATATATACATATTGGTTGCCAAGCACCAAAATTTTGCTCAGTGACTATGGGGATGCTATAGGATGGTTGTAAATGCAAGTATTAGTTGTAAGTCACTTTTTTCAGTGCTGTTGTAACTTTGAACAGTTGCTAAATGAATAGTTGTAAATCAAGGACTATCTGTTCTTAGAGTAAACATGGTATGAAATCATCTGTGTTTCAATTATTACAAATCAGTCATACTTCTAATTTCATTGAAAATTAGCTCAAATCATTACTTTTTAAAATAACCAAAAGTCAGCAAATGACACTTTTTCAAGTAATGACATATATGTATACATGAATCAATTTAGTTAACAACAATCTGTTGTTATTTCCTGTTACTTAGATTTGTTATCGTCTGACTACTTCAAAAGACTCTGTACACTTGACACTTATTAAGCACTATGTTAAAGTTATTGATTTTACTTAAGTAGAAAAATGAATACTTCTAGATCAATGCTCAAGTAGATCAATGCTTATGAAACTCTTCTGGGAATGGTAGGTCCCTGTTCGTAGAACTATGTTCAAAACAGAGACAACATATGGATATAATTCTAATATTATAGAAGTTTAGAAATAAAATTCAAGTGCCATAACCTGGTTTTAAAGCTAATTTCTAAAAATATGACACATTTATCTATAAATAAATTGAAGAATTGATACTAAATTAGTCACAGTATATTACTGAATCATTACTGAAAGTTCTTCCACTAGTATTCATTTAGTTGATAATTCCAAAGTCTTTTTCGATGTTCCAATTTATTTATAATTAGTTTGTTGCTTTAATTTCTGAAACTGTTCTTAAGGGGTATAACATAATATATATATATAGGATATATAAATTGGCTTTAAATCTGCTTATAGAACAAAGACATCTGACCACCATAGTTTAAAACATTTCAGTTTTAAATTTGTAATGTCCTTAAATATTTATTCTTTTCATTTTGTAGATTCTGGAAGTAAAGAGTCCTATAAAACAAAGTAAATCTGAAAAACAGATTAAGAATGGTGATTGTGATAAGGTAAATAGGAAAAAAAATGTTTAAATAGTGTTTCTATACATTAGAATCTAAATTTAACCAGAAAATCTAATTGAAATCAACATCTACATAAAAATGTAAATTTGTACATGCATTTATATGTAAATGGCATGTGACTTCATAAAATATTTCTTAATTATTCATTTAGCATTTTGTATTACTATATGTACATTGTTTATTATTATTATGTTGGTTAAATAATATAAAATTGAAAATACTTGTGAGCAAAACTATGAGGTTTCACAAACTGTCAAACTTTGTCTTTTTTGTTTTAATCTGTAATTACTTATTTTCAGGCATATCTTGATGAATTAGTTGAGCTTCACAGAAGGTTAATGACTCTAAGAGAACGACATATACTGCAACAGGTGAGGGCTTCTATGTCTTTTAAACAGTTTTCCAAAGCTAAAATTTTATTAAAAGAACAAAGTCTAAGTCTAAATTTGATTTTTCAACAGAAAGCAAATCCATCAATCAAAATATTAGTATCTCACAATTTTTATAATCTATTCAGTCCTACAAAAGTGTAATCACACTGAAATGAATTTCCTGAATGTTCAAATTATAACTGAACATTCAGAAGATGTTAAATGAATTCACGTAATTCAGATTTCAATTTAATTCTGCAATACTGAAATTTGAATTAGTTATTCTCATTTATTTATGGACTTTGTGCATTACTACTTTGGTATGTTCAATGACAAAACAATTCTTTTTTCACAGAAATTACTGCTTCACTATGAAAAATTTTAAAATACAGAATTTTCTGTACTTAACACTGCTTAGAATATTGACTTCAATAATAATAACAACAACAACAACAACAACAACAACAATAATAATAATAATAATAATAATAATAATAATAATAATAATTCCCCAGTATAACACATATTCATTCTCTCTGCCTTTGTCCTATATACACAGACCCAATTATAAAAGCAGTTGTTTATCTGTTTGTTTATTGCAAAATTTTTGTTCTTTTTTTGTCGGTGCCATTTGGGTTCATATCCATGTTTAACATGGAACTACATTAACTGCATGGCTTTAGGCCAGTTGCTCTTTCTAAGCCCAACTTACTACTTGAGGGTCTTCGTGTAAGCTACTCGAGCTAGGGATATACACATACTGAGATATGTACCTTTTCCTCCACAAAATTCTTAAGTCTGTAAGTTCTTGATTTATCATGTGGTAAAGCTACAAAAAAGTGCTATCTCAGGTGAGATCAGCTGGATCAATTAATATGAGACTGTAGGCTTCAGATTTGAGAAATGGGGACTGGATAAGTGATTCTCAGTTACTGTTCCTAAAGCCCTTAAAATCAAATCCCATCACTAGCTCCCCCTTAGTGTTGTAGTAATGATAGGCTTAATATAGCAATAGCATTTAGACATATACTGCTTCACAGTGCTTTTACAGCCTTCTCTAAGCAGTTTACAGAGTCAGCATATTGCCCCCAACGATCTCGGTCCTCGTTTTATTGACCTCAGAAGGATGGAAGGCTGAGTCAACTTTGAACCTGGTGAGATTTGAACTGCCAAATTGCAGGCAGTCAGCAGAAATAGCCTGCCATACTGCATTCTAATCACTGCACCATTGTGACTCTTATCATGATAACATATTAACTTTAGCTGACCCCTAAATCAGAAAATGATACATTTCTATTTCAGATTTCAACTCCACTGGTAGTTTATCATTTAAATGGCAGATTATCATGAATTACATCAGTAAATTGTATCTTATACACAATGCTAACTTTTCCCACTATTTATTTATTAAATTTATGTTTTGCTCATCTCATTATTGAAGCTACTCTAGGCTCCAATATGAAGAGAGGAAAAAATGTATGTTGTTTATTTATTATTCATTTATGTCCCACCTTTATGTTTTTATAAATAACTGGAGGAGGTAGGCATATTTTTTATTTTTATTATTTATAAATAATTTATTGATTTGTATCACATCTTTTTTGGGGGGGTGATGGATCAGTGATTAAAGATGCTGGGCTTGTCAACTGGAAAGTCAACAGACCAGGTTCGACACCTGAGCACCATGTGATGGGGTAAATTCCTGTTCCCTACCCCAGCTCCTGTCCACCTAGCAGTTCAAAAGCATGCAAATGGGAGTAGATAAATAGGTACCACTTGGGTGGGAAGGTAACAGCGCTCACATATAGTCATGCTGCCCACATGACCATAGAAAATGTCTTTGGACAATACTGGCTCCCTCAGCTATGAAACGGAGGTGACCACTGCCCCTAGAGTCGGACATGATTGGACAGGGGAGACCTTTACCTTTATTTTTAGCCTATTTTTATTATTTTTACAAATAACTGAAGGTAACAAATATATCGTATCACCTTCCTCCTCCAATTTCCCCACAACAACAGCCCTGTGAGATGGATTGGGCTGAGAAATAGCGTCAGGCCCAAGGTTACCCTTTTGACTAGAATTCATGGTTTCCTGGTTTCTAGCCTGGTGCCTTAACCACTAGACCAAACTTGCTTTACATTTAGATTTACCAGACTTTTTGCCTCCATTCTTAAACACTTAAAGAAAATCATTATTATCTAAAATGCTAATAGTACTCCTTCTATATACATTCTGTTGTAGAATCATTTACATTGTTGCTGCCAGATTGACTGCTGTGAAATTAAAGGGAAGCCAGAATTATATTTTTTATTAAACAATGAGTAGTTGTGTACTGTAGTAGTTGATTAAGTAGTGTACTTCATCAAAAGCAAATAAAACTCTCTTGGACTTTGCATCCTACATCTTCAACTGAATTGCGTTTAATGTGATTTTAAAACTGATAATCTGAAATCTTGCTAGCTGTTATCTTATTTTTCCGCCAAAGATTTCTTAATAGATTAAGAATATAAAAACCTGGTTTCCTTTGGCAGGTGGTCAGAAAAAGCCTTCAGATTTTCTGGCTATATTCTTGAGCTATACCTCTATTAAATGTGAATATTCATCCTGCTCAGTTGTAATACTGGGACTATATTTCCAAGAGTCCCTTATGAAGAGCAAGATTACAGTGTTCATGCTGCTTTTATTTAGGAGCTTAAAAAGGATAGATAGTAATCAAACCAAAGTGAAGCTTCATTTCTCATCCCTCTAAAGAGTACTGCATTGCTTAAAAATGCATCTGTTAACACTTCCCAGCAGCTTTTGAATTCCTTAAATTTATTATCAAGGGAGTTAATGGAAAGCCCTGTTTTGGCAGAGTTTCACAGGAAGGCATATCAAATATAGATCACTCTTTTTAAAAAAAAATACTTCGGAAAGGTTTTTTCTAGAACTCTTCCTGGGCTGGTTTATTAGCTAGGGTTAAATGAAGCATATTTTAGAATTACATTCCTAACTCATTAGTTCGACACAAGCTGTGGAGTGTTGGAGCCAAAGTTACTACATAAACTAGCGTGGCAGAAATAAATGAATGTCTACTTTAAACATGGTGCTTCTCAGAAGGTTGACATTTAATTTTTAGTAATGCTGTGTGTTTCACATTGTGGACTGGTTAAACCTTTCATTAGCTCTTGCTGATCTGGAACTACATAGGTGGAAATATATGGACTTAATACTACAGAGTTCCAAGTTATTCACTTGGGCTATCTCACCAGAATTGCTGCCTTCCTGCTCACTTAATAGTACAGCTCTTAATATTTCTATGTCTTTCAGTCCAAAATGTCCTAAGCTTTTGCTATTCCTTAAGTATCAGAAGCATATACAGATAGTCTTTGACTTATGACCACAATTCAACCCAAACTTTATGTTGCTAAATGAGACAGTTAAGTGAATTTTGCCCCATTCTACAACCTTTCTTGACACAGTTGTTAAGTGAATCATTGCAGTTGTTAAGTTAGTAACACAGTTAAGTGAATCTGGCTTCCCTGTTAATTTTACTTGTCAGAAAGTCACACAATGTGATCCACATGACCCCAGGACACGGCAACCGTCATAAATATGACTCCGTTGCCAAGCATCTGAAGTTTGATCCTACAACCATGGGAATGCTGCAATAGTTGTGTGAAAAATATATCACAAATCACTTTTTCAGTGTAATTTCAAACTGTCACTAAATGAACTGTTGTAAGTCAAGAGGTACCTGTACTTTTATTTTATTTATAGTATGGGTGTCTGCTTGGATATAACGATCAGGAAAATATTTGCGTATTTCATACTATAGTTTCACACTGCCTTATACATTGTGATATGGTGATCGCAAATTAAGCTGTATAAGATTATTGGGAATAGTTGTAATTCATAGGCAGAGCATGTGCTTTACATGTGCAAGTTGCAAAAATCTAGGTTGGTTTCATCTCAGTTAAAAAGGGAGAAAGGGCCTCTAAATGAAACTTAAGAATGCTAAAGTCACCTGATACAATAGATTTTATTATACTTGTCATCTCCAACACATTTAAAGGGCACTAGTTCAGAAAAAAGGTTCAGCAGATCATAGTAAACTACATTATGTGTGAGACATTTTCATGCCAGCAAATTGCTGAATCAAGCCGAATCATAACTGAGAATTGCCAATTAAAAGTTGCTGTTCAATTTGATATGTCATTTCTCCAATTTGTAGGATACTTTCCTAGAAAGAAATGTAGCAGTCTACAAATGTTTAAAGCATTCTGCGTGATTTAAGAGAGATGAACAAACAAAAAAACTAAGAAAGGTTATAACGAATATGAGGCTATTGTTGGCATTCATGTATCATGCTCAGGCTCATGGACAAAGAAACAAGTTACTGCTACATTTTATCTGAAAAACTTACAGACGAGATGATCAGAAGTGTTTAAATTTAACCTTTTCTTTTGTTTTTGAATGACAGATTGTAAATCTTATAGAAGAAACGGGACATTTTCACATCACAAACACTACATTTGACTTTGACCTTTGCTCACTGGACAAAACCACAGTTAGAAAATTACAGAGTTACCTGGAAACATCTGGAGCATCCTGAGGACCTCAATTGTGGTTGCATTAAAAACTGCTGAATTTTTTTTATCTGAAAAAAATAAAATAAAACACTCAGAACGATGCAGCCATGGTGCAAAAACCCCAACAGCTCTCTTCAGCTTTATTTTTTTGTTAAAGCCAGTTCATCATCTCTTGATAAAGGAGAAGAAAAATGACAAGCCTCAGCGAATTGCTCTTCTCACTAAGGAAATGCTCTGGAAGAGTTAGCCTGGATAGCCTTGAAAAAAAAAACATTTAATGAATGTGTATGGTATCATGTGTCTCTCTCTGTGGTACTCTAGGCCACAAGATAAATGCATGTTCAACACACTGCCTTATTACATAACTGATCTATTTATTACTGCATATGCATATTCTAACGTCCTTGAGGGAATGACACTACCAGACGCTACAATGTCCTGTGTCTCACGGATGCTCCTTGGATCCAGCACACCACCATCACAGGCCTTCTGACCTTACTCTTGCTTTGATGCCACTTTGTCTTGACCTTATGCTAGTATGGTGTGAAAAAACCCTGCATTGTTTGGTTTCAATTTCTATGGTTCCCCAAAATAAGATACTGGTTGTGGGGTAAGGCAGAAAAGTCGAGAATAAATCCATCTTTTTTTTAAAAAAAATGCTTAGTCTATTGTAGCAGGATTACCCAGGTTATAATTAACATGTTTATTTTGGACTATATGTAACAAAACCAAACAGAATTCTGACCTACTTCCTAGACTATATAGTCAGTAAATTAACATAACTTTTATTAAAGGGGAAAAAAACAAATATTCCAATATGCTATCCCAATTCAGAATTGCTTTTCTGTCAATATTTCTGCACCTGTTTTAAGGTTATATTAGAAACAAATATAACATTACAAGGAGATGTTTGCCATAAGAGGAGTACTAGTTCCGTTTTCATAATATAGAAAGTCCTTGATTTGGAACTATTTATGGCCAATGCGCTGAAAATTATTTCTAAATTTCATTACTTGTTCCATACTTCACATTCAGTTGTAATAGGGCTCTTAACTCAATTAAATGAATTAATTGGTTAATCAGATGAATTTCAATTGCATAATTAATGCATTCTATGTTTGGATGTGAATAAATGAGTTCTAAACCACTCCCCCACCCCCATCCTTTTTTAAAAATAAATTTCTACATTCATGTATGTATTGCTATAGGGACCACCTGAGAACTTGTATTCCTTCCATTTTTTTCAGAGATGATTGGACTTCTTCCAAAATGTTATCTGTCATACCATTTCAAACTTTTTAATGGTAAAATGATCTTTTTTTATAATTAAAAAAACGGCCATCCAATAGAAACATCTTTCCTTAATGAAATTATCTACTAAACGTTACTGCCCTAATTTTCAGAAGTATTTTTTAATCTTTAACAAAAGTGATTTCATAAAACAAAGTAAAACTCCATTTAAAGAAAGGAGGCAGAAAAGAAGCCTTCTCTTACTGAAGCCATTAAAGTAGGGATTTCAAGTGATATCCTGATAGAAGATGTTGCTTAAGGACTACTTTTGGATCTGAAGGATTTGTTAGTCTTTTCAAATAAGCTGTGCTTGAAAGGCTGTTGTATATCCAATTGCTGCTTAGTGGTCAGATTGTCATCTGTTGCTACAGAATCATCCTGCAGAAACATCTAATGGATTTCCTTGTTCTATGTGCACAATATGTTGCAGTATGAAAAATTAAGTTTGTAGTAAGGTTATTTCTTTAATCATGGGAATTCTTAACGTTGTTTCTTTAAGTCCAAAGAAATTGTTTCCTTTTGTGTGTATGTGTGTGTGAATGTGGAGGTTTTTATTTTATTTTTAAATTAAAATATTTGACCTAAACTACGGAAGTCTATCTTAGGCTTTCAAAAGAACAAGTGTACTTTTCTTCAGTAATGTTATGACTCTTATTGATGATTGGCATGAAACATACTTGAAGTGTTATGTTCTTTTTTAAGTCCAACTGTTAAATGTGCAATTGTTGGGATGGGAGGTTTTTGAAATCTTTTGACATCAGGCATATGATGTGATCTTGGAGTTTGGCGGGAGATGTTTGAGTGGGTTTTTTAACATTTTTGTTAGCATTTTTATATGAAATGTTTGAAAATCTAAAGGCTGTCTTTCAACTTTTTTTAACAGTGCACATTCAACACAATTCATTTCAATTGAGCACAAAATGTGTGCTTTGGGGGAGGGGTCAATGTTGACTTTTCTAACTAAATTTTGTGGCAAAACCTCTTGAGAGATTGTTGGAGCACAGGCCAACATAACTTTGACTATATACTGGACATGAGTTTTTTCTTTGTTTTTAAAAAGGCAAAATAAGTCCTTTGAGCCACAAAAAAAAGTAACTGGTGTACAGAATTTGTGGGGGTGGAGGGGTTAACTATGTAAAGGGAATATTACTGAAATTACAGTAGACTCTTAACTCTGACTTGCATGTAGCTCATCAGTCATCCTTATAAAATGTTAGTTCTCTAGTTTGATGAGAATGAGGATGGAATAAACACATTTCAGCTGCATTTGTGTATTGAAAGTGAAGAGTGTTTTCCACAAAATTCTGGTAGAATAAGAGCTGGTAAGTGGTGTCCTTTTTTAAAAAAAATACTTTAGTTATTTTGTATGCTGAAACAAAATAAATTCTTTTTCAATTAATTTCAAATAGTCCTATTTTCTGGCACAGAATTCAGTCTCAGCTGCATGGAAGATTGATCATTTAGGATTGGTAAAATGATACACAGTAGCACAAGGTCTAACTTTATATCACTACATTATATTCTTGGAGTGTTTCATCTGAACCAGAATTCAGAATCTGCATTAAAAACCATTATTTATCCCTTGTCCTTTTTGACCTTTTCTAAAATAATATATTTTTTCACAAGTTTATGATTATGCAATCTTTATTGTCAAGGTGTGGAACCAGAGTTGATAGAGTAGGGATGGATATTGTGTTCATTGCTTAGAGCCTTAAATTTAAATGGCCAATTTAGTACTCTTCACATGAATTGGAATGGAAATTCCCAAAATTGTACATCTGAAAAACACCAGTCTGGACACACACAAGGCAAAATGTAATATTCATCTGTCATATCAAAACTACCTATATTACCACCACATTATTACAATAATAATTAGTTATTGGGAGTGGAATTGCAGTAGTGCAGAACTTTGGTAATATCAAGACATAAGGATTGTATATAGAAGTCATAAAGAGGTGAGTCCTTTGAGGTGCAATTACTGCTTATTTACATAGTATACATTACAGCCCTTTGAAAACATCCTTCAGAAGTACAATTCATACATTGTAAATCCAAACCCTAACTTGTCCTTCGGCAAGTGTTTTAAAGAATGCCTCTTTCAGCATTAGTCTGAAGTAGATAATTCAAATGATTTAACAGCATGGTAAGAAAATGAATGCTATAGAGAAATGTCATATTTGAACACCCTTTGCCTGAAATTTCACACTGAAGTTGATTATGTAGTGCTTTTTCTTGTTCTTCAAGAATTCTGTTTAGCCATTTCAGTTCACTCCTTGTTAAACTGGCCAAAAGCCGAAATAATTTTTCTTGCTCAGCCAGTTCAATTTTTCCCCTGCCCTGTTCAATGTCCGCAAGATACCATTAAAAGAGCTATCCAACAGATCAGGAGGGACGTTTCAGTTATATATCTTCATCCTGGGCTTGATCAGAGATGTAGTGGAAGACATGATCTGATGGCAGGATGGCGTCTGGATGGAGAAAAACATACTTGGATTCCAGCCAGAATAAAATAAAATTGCCATGTTGTTTCCTTCATTCCAGCTCCATCAGCCTCAAGTTCTTCTAAGGAACATTCTCTAATTTATCACTAGTCTTGTTCAATTGTTAAGTGAATCACTGCTAATTGTTAATAACGTTGTTGTTAACTGAATCTGGTTTCCTCATTAACTTTGCTTGTCAGAAGGTTGTGTAAGGTGTTCACATGACCATAGGACACTGCAACCACCATGAATACATGCCAGTTGCCAAGTGCCTGAATTTTGATCTCAGGATCATAAGAGATGCTGCAATGCTCAAAAATGTGAAAAACAATTGTGTCACTTTTTTTCAGTGTCATTGTAACTTGGAGCGGTCACTAAATGAACTGTTGTAAGCCAAGGACTACCTGTAATGTGTTACCTGTAGCACATTGATTGACAAATCAAGGAGACATCAAGGAATAATAAAGACAAAATGTGCCTTCCAGATTGTAAGCCAATTATCAGGAGCCTAGCTGAGATGCCCAATGGTGAAGAATGATAGGGATTTGAATGGAATGGGAAAATGGGAGTGATATTTGAGAGCATCTTGTGATAGGAACCCTGTTAAATTTAGTACAGAATAGAGATGTATAGGATTGAATGTGCATGTTATAAGACACAAGCAACAGTATGTTTACAAACTAGAAAGATATTGCATTCGTTTCTCAAATAATTGTAAGAATGGAACAATTCTGATTGGGCTTCCGTCTGTGTTTTTAATTTGACAACAATAGTGTGGCTCTTTAATATACCACACTTTCCCTTTCTGTGGTCCAAATGACAATTTTCTATTATAGAATGGGAAGAATGTAACTCCAGATCTGCATGGTTAAGATGTCAACTGCAGGTTCCCATCCAGATGTGAGAAAGCAAGATGCCTCTCCTAACAGGAAGAAAGGATGGGTATATTTCCTTTGACATTATTCCTTTTAAAAAGGATTTCTCACTGGACATTTTCTCTCTTCCCTCCTCCCCTCTTTTGGAGGGGGAATCATATGCACTATGGGGGGGGGGAGTGGGGGAAAATTAAAATATAAAAAAAGAGGAAAGAAGTGAGTTGTGCTAAAAGCCAGGCTCTTCAAGTAATAAGTTTGTGATGCAGATATTGATTTGGGCGCTGAGCAGACATTCCTAACCCATGTGGTTTGTGTATTCCTATCTGGGTGGGTGGTCTGCTCTGAATGGAGAGGGAGGGGTGGCAAGATGGCTTAGTTTCTGAGCAGTAGAGGGAAACTATGAGACTTGGCTAGCATCATCCAGCCATCCTTCAGAAAAAACAAAGTACTCCTCCCACTTTGCAATGTGAGGGAATGAGCGTTGATTAAATTCATAGCAATACTATTTTACACCATATTAAACTTTGTGGCAGGAATCGTGTATGCATGGCTAAATGTTTGGGGGTCTATATTAAAAAAATTGCTGGAGACTAGGAAATGGCAGATTTGAGGCATGAAAAGAAAAGCAATTGTCTTAACCAAGGTGACCAATTATTTTTCCCTGTCTGGGAGGCAAGTAATCTCCCCTCAAAGCTTTGGTTTCAACTTTGTATGGAGAGGGAGGGAGGGAAATCTCCCTGTTATACATTAATTCTTCATTAGCATCATTATCAAAAGCTCTATTTGAAAAGAAGCCTATTAAAAGGTGCATAGAGCTGGGTAAATCCTACCCAGGAGGCATCTGCAGAAGCTGGAAGTTCAAGTCTGTCCCTAGTATGAGAGCACGAATTTCATGAAGAGATTTAACTTTTTTTTTCTCTTTCTCTTCTTCCTTCTCAGCCTACCAATAATTGTAAGCAATAACATAAGAATTCTTGTATAGTGGCCAGGGAAACTAGAAGGGGATGATAGAAATAATATGGAACTTCTTATGTGTATGAGCGGGCAGGGGGAGGGAGGGAGAGATTAATGGAAATATTTGCATTTGTGTTGCTAACCTAACAACTGCAGTGATTCACTTAACAAGAAAGGTTTGTAAAATAGGACAAAACTCACTTAACAAATGTCTCACTTAGGAACAGAAATTTTGGGCTCAATTGTAGTCATGCATCAAGGATTACCTGTATGACTTTCCCACCTTTCCTCCATTAGAAGATTCAAACCAGTATATGTGTAGTTCCCAGTGTCTCATCGAAGCACTGTTTAGGCCCAAACTTTTTTTAGTTTCAGAAAGTTTATCGATTTGAATATTGGCAGGCCAAGAGCTGGGACAGCTTCTTGGGGTTTTTTTTTTTAGGTGATCTAACTATTTTCTTCTTTGTCAATATTGTATATCAAGTGAAGAAATAATTGCAAATTTCTCAAAGTCCAATGGCATTAATAAAGAAAAGAGGAAATTAAGATCCTTGTCACAGAGGATATCTTAGAGATGACCTCAATATGACCAAAGCCACCCAAACTGGATGGTGTTACTGGCCCATCAGCCATGTTATGAAATCTTTTCTTAAAAAGCAGAACTATAACGATCAGATGACAAAATAAACATCGAAAGTTGGTTAACAAGTTGGCATCAGAATCGGCAGGAGGAGGATTGGAGTAGTAGTATAATATAGTATACACAGTATATAATAGACTTATATACTGCTTCACAGTGCTTTACAGCCCTCTCTAAGCAGTTTAGAGAGTCAGCATATTGTCTCCAACACTGGGTCCTCATTTTACTGAACTTGGAAGGATGGAAAGCTGAGTCAACCTTGA